GGACGATGTTTCGAATCTCTGAGAGAGGGCTCAAACACTATCATCCCTGGGGACCCTAGCCTGGGGTAAAGTAGTAGTAACAGGAGGGGCCGCCGCAATGCGGGTAACATTTTTCTCATCTCTACTATGTGTTAGTAAAGAGAAGCGTCCTCCTTGGATCGCCTCTAACTCATGAGCTACTATCACCTTTGGGGTAGGTGCAATTGCAATTAGTCATGGTCTCCGCTGCTTGGGAGCCACCATCCTCTGAACTAGCTCCTGGTGAGCTATCGTATCAACCATATGCTGCCTCTCTGTCTCGGACGCAGCTAAACGCAACCTCATATTCTTATTCCTCCGAGTCCTTCTCCCAAGGCCGGAGGTGGAGATGGAAGGGACATCTGAACCCACTGCTTGGGTGGCAGGGGGAACAGGGACAACCGGAAGTGCCGGGGTCTGCCCGGCAATCTCGGAGTGAGAAAGCCGAGCAAAAATAGAATCCCAGCCAGAAGAGGGTGAAGGCACCTCGGTCTGGGCACCCCTCTTCCTAGTGGAAGCGGGAGGGGAAACCCGAACGCAAGGTACTTCCACCGGAACAGCTGGAGTAACAACAGCAGCAGGCTGCCGGCGCTGAGGGGCCGGAGCAACCTGTGCAACAGGAGCGACAGGCGCAGCTCATTTGACCGCTGCACGAATAGGGGGAACAAAAGCAACAGGCTGCCGGCGCTGAGGGGCCAGACCAACCTGTGCAGCATGAGCGACAGGCACTGGACGCCTAATCGCCAGACGAACAACTGGAACAGGATGTGGCTTAGGCACTGGTCACCTAGCCACAGCGTGCACTGGCTGCGCAACGAGCAGGTGCCCGGGCTGTCTGCCGAGCAGCTGGTCATCCGAAAGGTCTCATGGCTGCGTGTCCTCTCCTCTGAGGAGGAGAGAATGAAGCAGCCTCCGCCGGGATCGGCCCTCCAAGAGTGACGAAGGCCGAGTCAGTGAAGGAACCAAAAGTGATCCCTCTAGCTGGCGGACTAGCAAGCAGGGACTCAGGGAGAGTCACCCGCGTGTCCGAATCGAAAGGAAAGATAACGGAAGGTACGAAGGAAGCCATGACACTGCTGCCAAGAAAAGAAAGTGAAAAGAATTAGTTAGAATCAAAATCAAGAAACAGTGAAGAATTTGATAGAGATTTGATAAAGGTAGATAGGAATTGATAGGGAAGGAAATAGCCTATAAGGCTGGAAAGAAGTAGAGTAGAGGGAACCCTAGCTATAGGAAAAAGAACCCTAGCTAAGGAAAGACCCTAACTAAGAGTGGGACGGACCTAATCTAAGGACTACCAATCCCGGAGTACACACAAGAAATGATAATATAGAATTCAAAGATGGAGAGAGAAACTGGTCCCACCGTAGTTGCCAGAAACCTGTGGACCTCCGAAAGAGCACCGGGCGAACAGGTCAATTGGAAGGGAAATAGCCTCGGTTCGCCATAGTTTTCACCGCCGGAGAGCTTGGGACGTCGGGTCTAGGTTGAGAAAGATCAAGGAGGGTGGTGGGAGTGCTCTCGCAAAGTTTCAGAGCCTGAGGTCTCTAGATCGAGCAAGAGCAAAAGATTCAAAATTGGACAAAATTTTTAGTATTTAAAGCCCCTAGACCTAAGGTGGACGGTTGGGATTCGATCTCTGATTAATTAGGAGGGAAACCAGGCTAATTAGGCCGTGGTTTGAATTTAAAAATGCTTGGAGGCTTTTATTTGTAATGAAGAGGCCTTAAATCCACTTAAATAGGTCATTATGACCTATTTAAGACTCAGGTTGACCAAGTCAATGGTCAACCTGGTCAACCCAATCAAATAGGTCAAAGGGGAAGAGTTATTGGGCCATGAAACGGATTCGATTTGATTTGGATTCAAATTAGATTCTTAATGGGCCTAATGGGTTAATTTTGACCCATTAAGACTTGGGTTGACCAAGTCAAAGGTTGACTTGGTCAACTCAGTCCACCATGCCCATGTCTAGGCAAAATCGAGGTTAACAGGGGTTTCAAGGGAGTGTGGAGGGGATTTCACACAGTTGGTCTGACAAGCTTGCACCTTAGTACCATCAGATTCAAGGTTTGTCTTGAGGAAAGTTTTGGGAAGAAGAAGATCTCTTTGATGTCAAAGGACCTAGCTACTCTGCCGTACTAGAAAAGGTGGAAGTGATTTTGCAAGGGCTTCTCCTCTTAGCTGTAAGGGCTAAAAGAGAGTCACTAAAGGTTTAGTACAATACTCGGATGGTGCCTCCAAGGAGTGGATGTAGGTCAGGTTGGACCGAACCACTATAAATATGGTTTATTTTTTCTGATTATTTTCCACACTTTATTTTTATTATGATTATCTGCTTTGGTAAAATCTCTGATTAATCTTTATATTATTGGTTTAATATGTTTATACTATAAGTTATAATTTTTTTAGTTAAATAAATTTTAAATATCCGATTCATCCCTTATCTTGGTTAGCTTCGTAATAGTTCATAAGGGTTTAACAACCCTAACAAATTTTCAGCTATTCCCACCGGTCAAACCTCACAGGCGATGTGATTCTGACGAACTAAGCCTAGATCCGACCAAGGCTTCCTCAGCTCGATCTATAGCTTGCCAAACCTCAAGTTCAACAGGAGAAATATTTGTGGACAGTCTACAAGCTCAACCGAATTCAAATCTCAAAGATCGAATAGTGAGACTTTCTAAAACTCTAGCCCTAGGTCAGTACACATATGGTTAAATAACTTTATTAAAAGCGCTTTTCAAACTGCAAAAACACCTCCCCATGATTTTTTTTTTCATCCATAGAACATAAGTTTAAAATTTCATCAACATCGACTAAGTCGATCGAGAGAACGAGGTGTTTTCTTAGATTAGGGTTTGGGTTACGTAGCCTCAACATTACGTAAGATCTGAACCGTTGATCGTTATCTTACGATCAATGGTTCAGATCTAGCTGTTCCTCAGCATTTTTTCAACGGCGGCTTTGATCCCATGGCTAACACCTTCGTCCGACGTGATCTCCACAGTTGATTCAAAACTGTGCTGGATCAGACGGTCCCGCACCTCGGCTAACGGGGTTAAGTCCAGTATAAAAATTAAAAATTTTATAAAAGATTGCTTTAAAAAGCTGTAAAAAAGATGTCCCAAATGAAGTCTAAGGCTACTTCTTAAATCAGATGTCTTTTATAAAAATTAAAAATTTTGTACTAGAAATCTGCTTTAAGAAGCAGTAAGAAAGCCTTCCCAAACAAAGCCAAAGATAATTTTCTTATTATTTTTTAAAGTAGTTTTCTAGTAAATAAATTTTTAATTCAAAAAATTTATGCTCTAGAAAGCTGCTTTAGAAAGCAGTAAAAAACAAACTCAAATAAAGTGTAAATGACATTAATAGGATGGTGTTAAATGCTAGCATTTGTGTTGTGAATATACAACATTAATGTAAAGCATTAATCAAATAAGAAATAATTGACATGAGAATGATGTGAGGTCTTAGGATTTGTTTGAGATAGTTTTTTGCCACCAATTTTTCACTGCTTTTAAGAAATTTTTATAACAAAAAACTACTTTAGAAAACCATAAGAAAATTATATCAAACGAACCCTTAAGAAATAATGTAGGCTTTATTTTCTTTGGGACTATTGGTGTAATGGAAAATCATCTGGTGGATTAAATTGCTCATGTGCCTCTCTCCAACTGGCCCTATGTTGTTCCTCTGTTAGTAAATTAATTGTTGGGAGGAGTTGGTGTCTCCCATGCTTCTTACCTTCGGCTATTACTGATGAGATTCTCAGGGTTAATATTCATGAGCAAGATTCTAAATGCCTTTTATGGGGTAACTTAGCTAATGCTAAATTTAGGGAATTCCTCACGAAATTCTACAAACTTCTACCTGTTTGCATTGGTCTAAATTTCTTTGGCATAAGGGCCATGTATTGAGATACACGGTTTTCAGCTGGTTGGCTTTAGTGGGAGGCCTGAAAACTTCTATGGAGCTCAATAAGCGTAATATTTTGGTGGACTTAACATGCTCTTTGTGCCATTCCTACAATGAAAGCTCTATGCATCTCTTTTTTGAACGCTCTTACACTCATAGCATTATCACCTCTTTAATACATGCATGCTCTTCTATTCTGCTTAGGCCTAACTTGTTGTAGTTGTTTGATTGGGTTGATGAATGTCCCACCTCTTCTTCACAATCAAAAAGATTTTATTACCTCATAATTTGCTGTATGAGTTACCATGTGTTGAAGGAAAGAAACGAGAAGAGGATTGCTCAATCTGCTTCTAGTCATTCTATGATCTCCCTTAAAATAAAAAAAATAGTTTTTTCTAAAGTTTACAAATGGAAGGAAGGGAATATATTGCTGGATCTATTATAAGGGTATGTTTTTTCGGTTACAAACCTAACCGTTGTTCTCTGTCACTGAATTTTGGGACTTGGATCACTTCCACTTGCTACCGTGTTGGCTATTGGATTTCTGGTTTTCGTTTTTGGCAGGCTCTAGACGGTTTTTGTAATTTTTGGGGGGCAATGATGCTAGATTGCTTTTGCTACCCCCTGGACGGTGGTCTTTTGCAACCTGATTTCTTCTTGATGGCAGTCCTCGCAATCGGGGGAGTTGTGCTTCATCTGGCTATCACAATATGTTTTTTTCCTGAGCCCTCTCATTGCAAATCTTTTATTTTATGTTATTCTTTTTGTCATGTGTATTTTGGTGCGGAAAGGTGCTGTCTTGTTTTTGGTCTTTAGGGATTTTTTCTCCCCTAATTCTTACCCTTTATATCTTTCTTTTTACACATTAACTAGTTTTCTTTAATGAGGTTATGCACTTAACTTTCAAAAAAAAAAAAAAAAAAAAAAAAAAAAAAAATCTTGAGGTCCAGATATTGTAATTGGGCTGGGCTGTAAGAAAGGTCATTTGAAGTACTTGGAAATTTTATCGGCCCGCAGTTGTTCCCTGCCGGCATATGAAACAGATATTTACATAAAATGAACTAAAGGAATAGGTCAAGACGGACGAAGGCAACCAATCGAGGCGTCGTCGTCCCTACCCGGCAAAACCCCCCATTTCTTCTCTATATCTCTCTACTACCCTTCCACACTCCATACCGTCGAACACAAATCGCCGCGGGTCCATCGGCCGACCTCATCTCCTTCTCTGGCTTCGGCGGTGGAAAGAAGAAAAAAAAAGGTAGTGGCGTAATCGCCGGCGGCAAAGAAGAACAGCGTTCGTTGCTCGTGGAGACGATGCGATCGGATGAGGAGGAGGAAGAGGAGGTCGGGTTGGAGTTTGAGAAGCGTGGAGGTTGATTATGGGTCTGCAAATGGCATGGCAGCAGTGCGTTTCTGAGAGACGGAGGCCGCCGCTGGGACTCAAAAACCTCGGCAACTCTTGTTACCTCAATAGCGTCCTACAGTGTTTAACCTACACTCCTCCCCTCGCTCAATTTTGCCTTTCTTCCGAGCACTCTTCTCTCTGTACCGTATCTCCTCTTCCTCTAGTGATCCATTTCTTCTGTTTTTTTTTCGCTTTCCTGTTTATTCTTTGTCGGATTTTTGGCAGGCAAGAGGCTGTTTGCGAATAAGAAGAAGGAGTGTCCCTTCTGCATACTCGAGCGGCAGATCGCTCGTTCGCTGAAACTGGACGGCCACCTCGATGCCCCTTCGAAGATCCAGAAATGCCTAAACGTCTTTTCGGAGCATTTCCGATGGGGCAGGCAAGAGGACGCACATGAATTTCTTCGATATGTCATTGATGCCTGCCATAATACCTGCCTTAAGATACTCAAGAGGCGTTCTACCGCTTGCAATGGAAGCGCTATTAACGGCAATGATGGCACAGCAAAGAAGGATGAGGTGTCGGGAACGAGTACTATCATGAATCAAATCTTTGGGGGTTCCCTGCTCAGCCAATTGAAGTGCCTTTCTTGCAAAGGTGAGTCAAATAAGTCTGATGAAATAATGGATGTAAGTCTTGATCTCTATGAGAGCAACTCTCTCAGAGAAGCCCTTAGTAGATTCTTTCAAGCTGAGATTCTTGATGGTGGCAATAAGTATAGTTGCGAGAGGTAAGGGACGGAGTCTATTTCTTTCTATGCATTCTGTTAGATGAAGATTGGTAAGGTATGATGATTCATAATTATTTCTGATAGGTGTAAGAAACTATCTGTTGCCAAAAAGCAGCTGTTCATACTTCGAGCTCCGAATGTGCTTGTTATCCAGCTCAAGGTATTCTTTCTTTCTATCATTATGGTGCATTCTTTTTTGGTTTTCACTTATTGGCTATGCAATCTGAGTTTGTTTGCACCTTTAATCTTCAGAGGTTTGAGGGTGTTCATGGTGGAAAGATCAACCGTAGCATTGAATTTGAGGAGATGTTAGAGCTATCTAACTATATGTACAAATCTGCTCAGGTATGTTGCTTCAGTATGTTTTAGTAGCTTTGAGTGGTATGATTTGGTGAATTTCTACCTTAAAAACTTTTTTAAGTGCGTACTAATAGGAAACTTGATGATTTAGTGCATGAAACAATAGCAATAAGGAGACCTTTTTTAATTTTATTTAAGCTTCCTGAGTAAGATGATAAAGTTTGAAGAGAAGTACTATGGAGAGTTCTATATAAGAAAGGGGTTAATAATGCTTATATTAAAGTCATTAAGGATATGCATGCAGGTTTTGTTACTTGTGTTCAAACACAAGGTGGTTTGACCAAGTATTTTCCTATTTCAATTGGATTACATCAAGGATCAGCCTTAAGCCCATAACTTTTTTGCTTTAGTCATGGATGTTCTCACTATACATTTGTAAGAGGTTGTACCCTGATGTATGCTTTTTGCTGATGATATTCTTCTTGTTGATAAGACTAGAGAGGGAGTTGAGGGTAAACTTGATTTATGGAGGTCAACCTTAGAGTCTTGATCAAGTCATTAATAAGAGTACACATTTTAAATATCTGGGTCTATTTTTTAGAGTGATGGTGAAATAGATGGGGAGTAGAATTCATGTTGGATGGTTGAAGTGGAGGAATGCATCTTGTTGTGTGATAGAAAGTCTCTCTTAAACTTAAGGGAAATTCTATAAGATGGTAGTAAGACTTGCAATACTTTATGGTGCAGAATGTTGGCTATTAAAAGAGAAGCATAATATTAAGTTAAGTGCTGCAGAGATAAAAAAAAGTGCTGCAGAGATGAGGATGCTCAAGTGGATGAGTTTCTTTACTCTTAGAGACACGATATCAAATAAGCGTATATGTGAAAAGGTTGGAGTAGCAGTAGAAGATAAGATTAGAGTGCCGCCTTAGATGGGTTGGTCAGATAAAACGGTGGCCTTCCGATGACCCGGTTAGGAAAGTAGATCTATTAGATTTGACTTATATTAAGAAAGGTAGGGGTAGACCCTAAAAAGACTTGGTTATACAATATTAAAATTGACATTTATTTATTAGATTTAGATGAGAATTTGACTCTTAGCAGAACAAAACGGAGAAAAAGGATTCATGTAGCCGATCCCACATAGTGGGATAAATGCTTGTTGTTGTTGTTCAATATGATGATATTAAAACTTAGTTTTTAAAATATAACTTTCTTTTGCTGCTATTGATTAGCAGTAGAATTGAGATCATTCTATTTTGAAATGAATGACTTGTGAGGGCATTCTATTAGTAAAATACATAGAAGTTAGAATAGCTTCTCCCTAATGTCTTTGTAGAACTTGATTTTAAAAGAGTAGGTCTCCGGTAACTTCAAGGAGATGTCTATTTTTTACTCGATCACTCTATTTTGTCATGGAGTATCAAAGCATGAAGATTGATGAATAATACATTTTTTTTAAAGAATGATGATAATTTTTTATTGTAGTAAACCCTAACATTTTCGATTATATTAGCTGTAATGCTAAGGATGTATACAAAATCGCAAATCTCAGAATCAATATTCTTTAATATGGAAGGAAATATTCAATGATGGATGCTCTAAACACTGATAAGAATTCCAAATATCATCTTTGTTTGATTTAAAAAAAAGAAGAAGAAATAAACAAAGGACCACTATGTTTACTCTTATCTTCTTGAAAGTACAACCAATCTTTCACTCTAGCTTGCCTAATTATCTTTCCTATACCTAGTAAGCACAATGATCAACAAAGAAAAGAGCATGATCATTATGAGTCCTAGTTATTATATTAATGAACAACAGATTCATAGTAAGAGTAGGAACATGTAGCACATTTTGAACTATGAATGACGGAGAAATGATATTTTGTTCCTTGTTCTACAACTGTGATTAATGGAGCATTGTCATTCTTAATTTACTTACTGCTTGGACATGATTTGCAATTGAAAGGAACTCATTGAGTGTGTCATGTGGTTTGTTGCACTTGAGTTTATGAGCCATGTCTTAGAGAAAGACTTATTTGAGGCGCTAAAAACATAAAAATTAGAGGTTTATCATTTTGACCAAGAGACCATGATCTAGAATACTTTTTGAATGAGTTAAGAAAATTTCTTTGCCTTTCAATTTCCACTAGATTGAGTCTTCCTACCTTGCTATGACTACTTCTATGAATTTTATTCTCACTATTGGGGTAATGTGCCAATTCTTTTTGCTGAATTTCCCTGTATCTTCCACCACGACCCATGCCTTGAGGGCTCTCATGAAGTTTCCAATAGTTTTTTTTTCTTGTTACATTCCTTCTTTTTCTTATAGTTGCACCATGGGGGTTGTCTTCACAAAAGATTTTTGTCCCATCTTCTTAACATATTCAGTAACAATTAGACTTTCAAATTCAAATTTTCCTCCTTTTGTTCACTAATGGATTCTTCTAAATTTGATACTTATAACATGACAATTTTTTCTTAATATTTCGGTCCGCATATAGGAGAAGGCTTCATCAAGGGACTACATGGCTTCTTTTCCAAGTATTTGAACACAAGCTTGATTAAATTTCATTATTCGAGGGTACATGGAACTCAAAGATCCTTTCTCTTTCCACATATAATTTGAGAATTATTACTTCCTTACACATTTCATCTTGAAATTTTGATGGTAGTCTGACTCGGGCAAAAAACATTCATTATTTTGTAATATTTAATGATATAAGTTATCTCACTTTTGTTCAGAGCTTTATCTTGAATTTGTAAATGAAGGCAATATCTTTGATCTGATTAGGTCTATCTCATTGCCTTTCAAAATTTTCAATAGCTTTAGTTAGAAATATGTAAGGTCCACATATTCGTGGCAACATGGAGTCTGAAAGCCACCACATAATTGTGGTGTCTTCTTCATGCCATAGTATAAATTTTGGATCTTTAGGACTTGGAGGAACACTTGTCTAGTGGAAGATTTTCCCCTTTTCTGTCGTGGTCATCATAATCTATGACCACTTTATATAGTTTCTTCCGTTCAACCAGCACGAGTCCAATGGACTGTGGAGTTTTCCAATATTTTGCTGTCCGGATTCATGAAATCAATTTCTTTTGGGGTAGATTTGGAAATTTCAGACATGGTGGAAGAGGAAGAAGAAGAGGTAGAAAATTGGGTGTTTTTGGAGGTTTGAATGAGTATGGAGCATGTCAAAAACACATAGACTCTAATCAATTTTAGTACCATGAAGAAAACTAGATCTTTTATTATTATTATTTAATCAAATGGGTGTACCCATAACAATAAATCTAAATCTATTCTTGAAAAAAAAACATTATGGGAAGGTTTAATTATAACCATTAACCACAAATAAAAATCAATGTATATCTTCTTTATTTGGAATTCCTATAACACATATAGATCCTTTTTTGTAATAGGAAAACTATGCATTAGATTTCTAAATTAGTATATATTAGATCTTCAAGCAAGCATACTTCTTTCCTCCGATTACTCCTATCATTTGGTTCTTACACAAGTCCTAAATCAAGCCTTTGTTTTTGATATCCAGTCGAGGAAAACTTAAAACTTGAGGGAGAAATCTATCTCGACTGGAAAACTGAATTGCGAGATTTGTCTTCATCCTTGTATGTTTATGAGCTTTATTTGCCTTATGCTTTTAATTTTTATCAAGTATTTAAATTGTTGATAATGATTTGATGCATGGTATAGGTTATATATAATTATGTATTATTTATATGGGTACTAACTAACTAACTCTTTGTCTCTCTCTATCTCTATATCTCTCATTCTATGTATATATAGCCATCATTGCTTCAAAGCATATGAAGCTTAATTTTGAATCATTTAAAAAACAACTAAATATTTATTGTGTTTTGAATTGCATCTTCCCTGTGGTTTTGTTTTTTGGTCTAATAAAAATTGTGGAGGCATGCTTTTAAAAATTTTAATTTGTGATTATGTGATTTTATCCTAAGATTGCTTTGTAAGTACTTTTGCTAGATATAATTATTTTGACGTTTTGCTCTTTGGTCAAAGAAAAAGAAGATACTGTGAAGAATTTAAGGAGTCTTTCCTAAACTTGCTAGTAGGTGCTATTGACGACACAATAGCAGCTGGATAAAGCAGAGTTTTTGAAAGTTTTTGCTCAGACAGTTCGGTTTTTGGTGTAATAAAAAATTTGGGAAAAATTTGGTAAGGGGCCCAAATTTTTTATCACAAAATAAAAACTTTTCTAAGTAATAGAAAAGTCACAAAATAGACGAATAAACTAAAAACAACAACTTTTCTTCATAATATAAAAGACTTACAAACTTAGACACTTATAAATGACTCAAACAAAACAAACTCCTAAAGTTGCATTTCTTTGAGAAGAAGGATACAAGTGGAGTGGAACTTGTGGAGAGACGAAAAAGATTAGAAGCCGAGAAGAAGGGTGGAAAGAACTCGCAAGTCTCCCCAAGAGATAGAAGAAGAAGAAGTGGAAAAAGCTCACAAGCTTTTCCAAAATCCTCAGGTTTCTTTCCAAAAATCACATCATAAACTTACTTTTTAAAACATCCCAAAACAACTCTATATATACATGAGAGGGGAATACAAACAGCTCCAAAACATTAATTAAAAGCTAATAAAATTAGGGAATATGAAAAGCCAACAGCCCACTCATAATATCCCCAAAACTGCACAGGAACCCAAGCTCCACAAGCCCGAAAAAGCCCCCAACACCCACGGGAAGTAGCCCAGCCAGGAACCCGAAGAGGCAGCCGCAGAAACCAAAGAGGCCCGTACAAAACCGAGGCACCAAGGCACTGGAAAACACCCAGCACGGAAAACCAGCAGCCAACCGTGGAAACCAAGGAGCCAAGGCATGGAAACAACCAACTGTGGACACCAAGGAGCCAAGGCACGGAAATCCAAGAGCCAGCCGCAGGAAACCAAGGAGGCAGCCTTGGGAACCAAGGAGCCAAGGCACGGGAACCCAAGAACCATCCACGGGAAACGAATATACAAGGGGAAGAAGAAGAGACAAAATAATGAGCTACTAATAAATTAATAAATGATCTAAAAACATAGCTCATAATGAGCTAACTCTTAATTCAATGAACTAAAAATCAGCTCATAATGAGCTAAATTTTAGCCCAAAAATTAATGAGCTAGCAAGCTCAAGGGAAGCCAAAACCAAATTTTTTTGGGTTTGATTTTACCCCCCTTTGCCTACATCAAACTCCCCTTCTTGAGAACTCATCTCTCGATGAGTTAGCTTTGTTCTGAAGGCGTTGCATCAAGAGACACCAAGGCTTGAGATTGCTCAATTGACACCAAAACTCAAATGACAACATGACTCAAAACAAAACTTACATGATGACTAACGTGACATCAAGACACACACGACTCATAAAACTAGGACTTCCTAACTTGCTCAGATACTAAATTGGTGTAATAAAAAATTTAGGAAGGGCCCAAATTTTTGATCACAAAATAAAAACTTTTCTAAGTAATAGAAAAAACACAAAAGGACACAAAATAGACGAATAAACTAAAAACAATAACTTTTCTTCATAATATAAAAGACTTACAATTTTAGACACTTACAAATGACTCAAACAAAATAAACTCCTAAAGTTGCATTTCTTTGAGAAGAAGGATACAGGTGGAGTGGAACTTGCGGAGAGACGAAAAAGATTAGAAGCCGAGAAGAAGAGTGGGAAGAACTCTCAAGTCTCCCCAAGAGATAGAAGAAGAAGAAGTGGACAAAGCTCTTAAGCTTTTCCAAAAACCCTCAGGTTTCTTTCCAAAAATCACATCATAAACTTACTTTTTAAAACATCAAAAAACAACTCTATATATAAACATGAGAGGGGAATACAAAAAGCCCCAAAACATTAATTAAAAGCTAATAAAATTAGGGAATATGAAAAGTCATCAGCCCACTCATAATATCCCCAAAATTGCACAGGAGCCCAAGCTCCACAAGCCACGGAAAAGCCCCCAACACGCACGGGATGCAGCCCAGCCAGGAACCCAAAGAGGCAACCGTAGAAACCAAAGAGGCAACCGTAGAAACCAAAGAGGCCCGCACAGAACCGAGGCACCAAGGCATGGGAAAACCACCCAGCACGGAAAACCAGCAGCAAACCGTGGAAACCAAGGAGGCAAGACACGGAAACAGCCAACCGTGGACACCAAGGAGCCAAGGCACGGAAATCCAAGAGCCAGCCGCAGGAAACCAAGGAGGCAGCCGTGGGAACCAAGGAGCCAAGGCACGGGAACCCAATAATCATCAACGAGAAACGAATAGACAAGGGGAAGAAGAAGTGACAAAATAATGAGCTACTAATAAATTAATAAATGATCTAAAAACATAGTTCATAATGAGCTAACTCTTAGTTCAATGAACTAAAAACCAGCTCATAATGAGCTAAATCTTAGCTAAAAAATTAATGAGCTAGCAAGCTCAAGGGAAGTCAAAACCAAATTTTTTTGGGTTTGATTTGACCCCCCTTTGCCTACATCAGTTTTTATTCATTTTATTCAGGTCAGATAATATAATTAGGTTTGTTTATAGTTGCTTTCTTCTTTGTAAACCCTCAAAAGTGTGACTTTGTTCTTCCTTTGAGTGGTTTTTTTAACGGTTATTCTTAACCTTGCCATTTCCTGCCTCAAATCTTCCTCATCTCTTCATTGTCTTGCACCATTTGGTTCGATATATTTGAATTGATATACTTTCTCATTGTGGGAAAATGTGGTGATGGCTGAGAAGATGTCGTATTTCTTATGATTGTAGAAAAGTTAGACTGTCTTGAAAGTAGCATGAATTCATTCATGAATAAGATGTGTTGATGAAGTGATCAATCTTGAAGAACCAAGAGATTAAATCTTGAGCCAGAAGCAATAAGTTCTAGTTAAGATTGATGATCGAAAGAATACATCTATGGAAATTATCAACATTTATAAAGAAGTATATTTTGAGGAGAACACAAAAGAAGATTTTTAGAAGGAAATAAAGGCAATTCAATGGTGATGATTGAAAATCATAAAAAGGACGGATTATGGAGAACTGCAATTGTCATCTTGAATTTGTGATTTAGATTGAACATCTTAAGGAGAAATAGCAGGATCAGAACCAAACAATGATAATGAAGTAAAAAATTATATGGTTGTTCGTGTATATAGGATGATCAAAATCTACAAAGATGTGAAGGTGAAAATTAATATTGTTCAGTAATTTAAAGTCTTGTCATCAAGTCGAACTTTTGTTAAATCAACAAGATTCACTGCAAAACATGTAACACTTGGAGATGAACATAAAAATTCTTGGCCTTAGAGATGTACGGCACATTCCTCTTTTCAAAACCTGACCTTTTGTTTTCCTATTTGAATGATGAAGAATCCGGAAATGTAGTCAAAGAATTTATGGTTTTTTTTTTTTAAAGCTACTATAGCATGACACTGTTCACGTACATTGTTGATCTATGTATTGTTCATGGATGCTTTTAGTGCTCCACTATGTGGAGGAGAAAATGTCATGTTGGATAATTGTTGCAAAAGTGTAAATTTACATATTTTATTAGATCTTTTGGGTCACAGCCAAGAAGAAATGAAAATTTTTCATTTTTACATAATAGATGCAAAACAGATCGAGTACTCTTCCCAAGCATAATGCGTGATTTAGATTAAGCATATTAAGTAGAAGTTGTTTTCCATCAAAATTAAATTGAAATAAAAACCTTTTATAGTTCATGTGGAACATGACCTATAGCCATAAAGAATAACTGAAGACAAAATTGACTTCGTTCAGAAACTTGGAGTCTAGTTATCTAGCGGCACTTTTATTCAGTCAAGAAGAATCACTGGATGGGAGGTCATCTCTTAGAGATTAAGAAGCAAAAAATTGTCTTAGAATTATCAAAGGTTGACGTATCTTAAACAGGCTGTTGAATCCTTGTTTTGAAAGTAGAATTCTTGGTTTGCTAGCTTTGAGGAATGAGGACGAAAAAGAAGATATGGTTCAGAATTTAGGGACTTTTCTTGACGTAGTCTAGCATGAGCTCTCGGACATGGTAGCTTCCTTGGTATTGTTAATGGGATACTTTAGCATGTTGCACCGTTCATGGTGGTGTATCAATCTGATAATTTCTTTAAAATTTATTTGGCTTAGATTTGTTTTGATTTTATTTTCTTTTCATTATGCTCGCTTTCTATCCACAATTGAAATTCATTAGGATAAGTTTTATGTTCTATAAAAATTCTGTATCTAAATAGGTTTTGAGTTGTAGCTCTCTTCATGAAATGCTAGAATTTGCAAGTCTTTATACATGGGGTGATTTCAAAATCGTACACCATCCAACACCAGGAAGAAAGACTCGCAAATTCTGGGAAGAGAGCTACAACTCTAAAAAAATTCTTTTTCTTAGTATAAGGTGTACCTTATTAGTGTGAGATTAATATATCTATAAATCCCAAAATCCTACACCTTCCAACACCAAATCCTTTTTTCTTAGTTTCTTTTCATCTATTTTTTTACTCAAATTACTTATATTATTTTCATGCGAATACAGGAGTCAGAGCCCAAGTACAATCTTTTTGGGAGCATCGTGCACTCAGGGTATTCACCTGAATCAGGGCATTATTATGCATATATCAAGGTATCAGCTCTTACAAACTTGATTTCCATTGGTTTTGAGCCATAAATTATGCTTAACTTTTTGTGCCCAATTAATTTCTTATAATTTTCTTTAGGATGCTTTTGGCCGGTGGTATTGCTGCAATGATGCTCAAGTTTCACTTTCAAGCAGCCAAGAGGTTTTGTCAGAAAAGGTATACATTCTGTTCTATTTGCGTTGCGATCAACATCAGAAATCTACCAAAGTTGGTTCACCTTGCAATGGAGTGAAGCCCACAGTTTCCAATCGAAGTAACACATTAACATGCCAGAACACTGCTGAAACTTCTAAATCATTAGCAACAGTGAATGTTTTTCCTGTGCCAAAGAATGGTAAAATATCTACTAATCATCAAGTCAAGCCCATTACTTTGAAGAATTTTGGAACTCCTAGATTGATCTCAAATGGTGATGCAAAGCTTGAGACATGTACTGATGGAATAAACAATGGTGCCAAACAATCTCCTACCATAGAAACGACTATCCTACAATCTGAAGTCCGTTTGGAGGAGCTAAAGAGTACAGATAATATAGATTATTCGTCTGTGGCTAGTAAGAGCTCTGCCATTGTGAAAAATCAGGGTACGCATAATTTATCAAATGGAAATGGAAGATGCAGATCACCGTTAAATAATCCACATGAGGACAATCCTAATTCTAATCTGCTGAATGGCAGAAAAGATCCTAGATTTGAGTGCTTATCTGGTATCGTGCTTGCTAATAGAAAAAACTCTATTATCTCCTCTAAACGAAAGTTGGAAGACAATGAGAAAGCGGATGATTTGATATCTTCCGCCAAAAAATCTTCTGTTTTGTCAAGCAACGACATGAAGCACTCTTCAGAGGAACTTCAGAAGTTTAAGGAAATGTGAGTTTGGGTCTTACCTTCTTTTAAAATAGGTTTTTTGGTTATAGTTATATAGTCTTTGCAATAGTATTTGAAAAGGTTCTTGTCTTCTTTAATTTGGTCGTTTACAAGCATGCTATCCTCTTTGTTTAGAAAGAATCTACTGGATTTATTATGCAATCTTAGAATAATAAAATTACCAGATCTGATTAGAATAGACTTCTTATATATGTACAATCCAATATTTTAGAACCATCTCATAAATGTTGTTTTCTATTTTGATTTATGCAGTCTTGCTTTAGAGGCACTTACAGCTCTTCGATCATGTGATTGGTTTGGTAAGGTGCATGATTTCATGCATGCGAGGAAAAAGTCATGCATACAATTAGCAGATGGTTGTCCTAATAATGCCGAGTTGAAGTAAGAGTTCTTATCCATTTAGAACTAAAAATGGCATCGTCATATTCTTTTTAAATTTAATAAACATTTTCTGTATATTCAACTTTTTGCTTTTTATTGCATGTAGTGATGAAAGGTATCTTAGACTTTATGATTTAGTAATGCAATCGATAATATAGTATTAAGCATGTAGTGAGGAAAGATGTCTTAGAGTTTATGATTTACTAATGCAATCAATAATATATTGCACAAAATTGCACTCCAGATTGACGTCTGACTGCTTAAATCAACAAACTACACCAAAAGTTTGGAGTGATTGAGAAGGTCCTTGAAGCCTGGTGAAAGTTGGGGAATGAGGATAGATTTTTATTTTTTATTTTTATTTTGACTCAGTCTAGTAAGTAAAATTGATACCTCTAATTCATTAGATCATCATCACTAAGAATGCTTCAATATCAGAATTACAAAGTTGTTGTGAATCATGGTCATCATTGTGTTCACAAATAAGAGGGAGATAGAGAACTTTAAAAATAGGAGGATTTTATCTTTGATATTGTTTGTTAAAGATATATAAATCATTTCAATAGGACTATAGGGGTAGGCACATCAAATCATGAGTGCAAGCCTAAACTGATGGAGCACTTACTGTAGTGTAGAAAGAAGGCCTGAGCAATTTAATCTGCTATGTGCTTGAACTTTTGAGTTCCGTAGATTCAGATGAACTTTAAAACATTCATAATAATTATACTTGAAGATTTTGCAGAAAGAGCAAGATAGGGTCAAATTTCACATTTTGGTAATATCTGACAACGAGCCTATTAAAACCTCCTTTTCAAGTAAAGAATTAACGTTCATTTCCCCAAGAGCTCTAGACACAGGTGGCCTAAAAAGTTGAACAGTAGCAGCATCCACTTAGGCTTCTTTTGGGACGGCTTTTTTATTGTTTTTTAAAGCAGTTTCCTAGTATAAAAATTAAAAATTTTGTATCATGAAGCTGCTTTAAGAAGCAGAAAGAAAGCCATCCCAAACGAAGCCTTACAAATGCTTGCTGACTATTGATTCAAAGCAGTATAAAGTGGATCGATTAAAATAGTGTAAACAGTGTTGAGG